TAGCAGTGTGGAGCACCATCTATAACTTACATGAGCCAATTATTCGATATCAAACAATAATAATGACTGTAGTCGATTTCCCATACTTCTCCCTGATTACTAGTGTACAGCTGTGGAAAAGTCTCATTTCCTCAAAATGGTTATCACACGGGCAGTGCTGTAGACCATGAGTGTTTGATTGGTGATTCTGTAACCTTTTCCTGTAATTTGGGGTATATATTAATGCGATATGAAGATGGTGTGTTGATAGATTCTCATAACACAGTCACATGTCTGTCGAATGGCACAATGAGTGACACTATTCCTGTCTGTATCAGTAAGTATGCTCACAATATACTAGTGTATATTTAACAGATGCATTTCTTATTACAGTACAACTAGGATTATTCTGGTTCAATGTACATTCGTTGTCGAATATGAATATTGGGATGAGAAATGATTGAGAATGTGTTCTATCTCTTCTTTGACTTGTAATCATATAATTGGAGGTTTTACAAAACCGTGTCACTTCGTCCTAGGTAAGTGTCAGTTTACTGAATGCGGTGAAGGTGAAGTTTGTTTTCTTTCTGGTGCTGACGCAGAATGTGCTTGTCTTGGTGCATCATCATGTCCAGATGATGGTCATCCAGTTTGTGGAAGGGACAGTGTGACATATAACAGTGACTGCCACTTGACAGTAACAGAATGTCAGACGAAACGAACAATTGGCAAAGTTCGAGATGGCATGTGCATTATGGGTAAGTATTATATTAGTATTCTGGGGGGGGCGGAGTTGTGTCACATAATGTTCTACGTTCCTAAGACGCATACCACTGTTCTATGTATTTCTATTAGCTCTGTGCGAGCTGCTGTGGAATGCCGGTTGAAGGTCCAATGAAAAACAGCTAAAGTCGAGGAAACCACACAAACTCAACTTTGAAGTAATTCAGAGGTTACATTCTTCAGGGGAGTTTCGGCCTTTGTTTTCACTGTGGTGGTTGCCAGGCGATGAAAATTCCCGGATGTCTGCCCCGCGAATTAGTTTATCGATTGGTTATATATCATACATTTGAGCTGTTAGTTTACAGCAGAAATATTAAGTTAAAATGAAATGTATAGTGATCGTTCACTCACATTCATTTGCATAAATCGTGATAATGCGTTTCTGTAGCTCTTCGTGGCTTTTAGAATTCAATGTTGGGACTTCACTTTTTCAGAACGAAATATATTTGTGGTTTTCTTCTATAAATATATTTTTGTATGTGCAGACCCCGCTCCCTAAAATCCCAAGATGGTCAACCAATATCTTAGGCAAATTCAGATTTTGCACTAGTGAGCACATATACATAATGCATTATGGGAGAGAATTTTATATGTTATATAATGGAAACCAATGCCACACTTAAAAATTACTAAATTATGTCATTTTTGGAAATGTTTTAACATTATTAGTAGTTACGCCAATAATAATATATGAAATTTTCATTGAGATTTGGAAATAATGTCACCATAGAAACCAATATAATAATGCTAGGTTTGACCATTTCCCATGACACTTTAAATTCAAAACTAAATGTCTGGTGAACCCCCTTTTTTCAATTTTCGGTATTCTGATGGCATGAACCCAGTATATGGGAAGTATAATATACATGACATATATCCTTAAATTCAGCTCAAACCTTCCTAATATGCCTTTTATTTACCATAGTGTAATTTTAAAATGTGTAATTCATAGTCTATTCTATTTCATTTTCAGCCGGTTTTTGCCAACTGCAGCCAATAACACTTGACGTTGCTGTTGAGTGCAATTCTCACATCTACTGGGATAAATATGAACAAAGATGTAAAATTGTGCAGCCCAATGAATGCGTACCTGGACTATATGGTTTTTCATCCCTGGGAGAATGCACTGAAAAGTGTAGTGAAGGTAACGTAAAACTACGTATACATATTGGTTTTTACTTCAAATACAACGGTTTACCCAAGTGGAATTGCTCTGGTATCATAAAATCTGGCATAGATTACATTCCACAATCCATCTTCTCTGAAATAACAGGAATTGCTGTTATATTCACAATTCATGTTTCCGGGATCATTCAGTTGTATCATTGTCGCATGCATATATAAAGTCTTTGATAGAGAAACTAATATTTGTTTTGTCTTCAGTGTCCTGTTCACCACGAAAATCGGGACCTTGACATATCAAGTATGATTTTTCATTGCCTGCAAGACATAGCTGTCATCCGTTGCTATGGGTGCATCTTACAGTACTCATTGATTCTGCTTAAAGAGGTTCCTACCAGTCAAATTGGATATTATGTCCTTTTTATTGATAACGTCATTGTTGTGGTTGTACCGAAAACTTAATTTGGCTCATCAGAACATTTTTTGAATAAAAGGAGATCTAAACTGATTAAGTGGTTTCTATGGTGATGGTGAAATTATTTCTTTATATCTCAAACTTCTGGTCGGTGATATCGAATGTATTTATTATTTCAATAACGCCAATATTATTATGACATTTTTAAATATTTCATAATACTAGTAGTTTATGTAAAATAATGTCTTATTAACATGCTCAGTATTTCACAAGTTGAATTCGGCATAAACTGCTGTAAAGGGTATTTTGAATAGTTTATTTTTGCACATAAATTAAAATTGAATCAGACGTCATCGAGCACGTGGTATTTGATTTGTAATGTAAGCGTGTTCTCGACGAGATGCGGACATCAAGTTACGCCCAACTTTCAGAAACCACGCCCACTTTTGCAAAACCACGCACAAATTGTCATATATGGGGTCAATCTGTGCCATTCACATAATTTGTGAGAAAGTTGTCACTGGACACCCATGTGTCGATTTCCATAAAGTCTGGGAACATACATGTATGTAACAATGACAAAACATCATTTTCTGGTTATGTAATGAAAAAACGGCCGCAGGATACACCACATCACTCAACTTACACACAATACAAGCTTGTGGCATTTTGTCATAAAGTCTGAGAAAATTAAACAAAACATATTCAAAACAAAGACGTTGGACAATTATGAACATTTATGTATGGCAAATATAAAACCTAGTTTTAATCATTCAAATGTAATCATTAATTTCAGGTAAATATTGTGAACAACCATTGGATCCAGGTGAATGTGATGTACCAGTTACGAGATGGCAGTATGATTCCATATCACAGGATTGCTTTTCATTTACGTATTCTGGATGCGGTGGGAATGAAAATAATTTCATGACACGAGATGAATGTTTGATTGCCTGCCCTGGAATTAGTAAGTGATCGTGTATACTATTATTAGTCTGTCTTGTTCAGTTTGCAGTTCTTTCTGACTAATTTTGAAATACACACACCAAGGTTGTTACACACATCTTATTTCCACTACCAAATTAGAAAGGAAATAACATGTATGGGAACTGCATTTACAACCAAGTAAAAAAATAAAATGCATTTACTAATAAATGTGTTGAAAATATATTCATGCAAAGTGAAATGGCATTT